AACTTTTATTTATGTGTTGTCTGCTTCTCTGTCCTGGTATAAGCTTGTTGTAGCACGCATTCATTTCTGTTTAAAATTATGCAAAGGCAACCCGAGATCCGAGCAAGTTCATCACTCCCGTAGCCGATGAGCCGAAGCCGGAAAAATATCTTGCGTTCGCTCCGATCTCGAGCTAATAACTTGCTTGTAACATTCATTTTGTGTGTAGCGATTCGTTACACTTCTTATTTGGATCTTAAGTTATATGAATGGCAGGATGCAAAAGGTCCCCTTTAAGAATAATTTATCTAACGTTCTAAGGGTTACATCTGGCGTCCCGCAAGGCAGCCATTTGGGACCCTTGTTGTTTTACATTATTTATAAATGACCTGCCCAAAGTCTTGACTAACTCCAGAGTGCTTATGTACGCGGTTGACGTCAAGCTTTGCGTGCAATTACAATGACGTTGCCTGCCAGTCGGATTTACAAACAGATCTCAATAATTTTTAATCTTTGTGCCGAGTAAACTTATTAAACTTAAACGGCTCGAAATGCAAGCTAATGACATTCTCTCGTGTCGGTCCTAAGCTTGCTACTTACACGCTGCTGCTCTTTCGAAGGAATTAATTCTGTTGATGGTTTGGGCGTCCGCTTAGACCCAAAACTAGACTTTATTTATCATATTTCGTCTATGGTGAATAAAACCAAAGGTGTGCTTGGATTTATAAAACGGTGGTCGAAGGAATTCAATGACCCCTAAGTCACTAAATTCTTCTTTAGTTCGTCCTATCTTAGAATATGGATGCAGCGTATGGAGCCCTCAGTATTTAATTCTAACCCACTTAGTAGTCATGCAGGAAAGCAATTTGGCAGCACGCCAGTAGTTAATTACCTCTTCCTCTTTTCTATTTTTCCTTTCGCGCCTACTTAGACCTAACCCAACTAGCACGTGCCTGGTTTCATACGGGACACTTGTATGTACTGACCGTAGTACACTAACGTCCAGAATATACAAACGCTATTAATGATAAGATAGTATCCGAACTATTTGCGCAGGTTCAATTCAGTAAAGCATTTGACTCTGTTAACCATTTTCTGCTCGTTAGGAAACTTGATTTAATGGGTTTTCAAGTTGATCTTCTTAATTGGTTCTCAAGTTACCTGAATGGCTAAACGCAAATAGTTATCTTTAAAAATAGCTTGTCTAATGTCAGCAAAGTTCCTGCCCATAGTTCTGGCTAACTCTAGAGAACTTATTTACGCGGTCGACGTCAAGTCGTCTGTCGAATATAGGGACGTTGCCGACCAATAGGATTTACAAAAAGATCCTGTGGGAGTCAAGCCCATTTGTTAACCTGACTCTTTTGGCAATAAACGAGTTAAGCAAAAGTTTCGTTCCCAAAAATTTTTATTGCAAATAGTACCTCCTTCCGTAAAATACAAAAAAAAATCTGCCGAAATAGATTTTGGCAATCCATAGTCACACTAGATTTGCGAATATCAGATCTCTTTTTCTGAAACGCGTGATCGAGTGCAGTTTAACTACTACTAAAGTCTAAGTGTAATAAACGCACATAGTGATGAATCCTAATTGTGCCTTTTCAATCACACTTTTCTTAAAAAAAAAGCGTGCGTCTCTGATTGCCTACTCAGCCTTAGCAGCTGTCATTGTTTTTGCAATTGGTTCTCTGCCAAGTGGATTGGTACTGCCAAGGAGTTAAAGATTTCGGCAAGATCCATATTTGAGCGAAATCGGACCACTAAACACGCGAAGTGGAATGCCTTTTTCTGCTGCAAAAGGTGTGCAGATGTACGTTTTTTGTCGCACACATCGGATCTGGGATTTTTTTTATTAGCGACGAAGTATTAAAATGAGGGAAAGAAGGCAAAGGTGCAGTATAGGGCTGCCTTCGCATCCAGAGCCGGTTCTAGACAAAAGCTGCCCTATCCGAAGAGGAAAGGGTAAAGCTTTCCTGGGCCGAGAAAAGGATCGAAGAGACCAGACTGCCCTTCACCAAACGGGCGGTTTCGCCAAGAAGGTGGAGGAATTGGTTGCCACCAAACGGCAACATCTGCCGAGAGTGCCATAAAGGAAACTCCCGTCGTGAAGGCGAAGAAACCCAGAAACAAGGAAAGGAAATCGAAAACTTGATCGTGGCACTCATTGATAGGAGCGATGAAAATGGCATCATTAGTAGATGCCTCCAAATGACGCCAGGCGAACTTCTTGCCTTCAAAATAAAAGATCTTCAATACCGCGTAAAAATCTTCAGGCCCATTTTATAACATCCGGATAAACCTCTATTGGAAACCAACTCAATAGCGGAATGGTGAAATAAATAAGAAGTTCCAAAAAGGGAGGAATGTAGGAACAGGTAATAAAATGATGCTACCGTTGACAAATAGCTTCATACAGAGAAATTCAACACAGTAGAATTCCTATATTTTTTTTTCTTTTTTTTTGGCTTTAAACTCCATGACATCAACATTCTCTGGCCAGAATTTGGTAAAACAAACTTTGTCAAACAGTTTTTTAGGCACATTTTTTTTACCAATGAACAGTGGTGGGACTTGTACCGAGCCAAGGTCATAAATATTTCGTATTGGGATATCATTATGTAATTTTCCCTTAAAATAAAAAAAAATATTTTGAATACATAGTGAAAACTTTAGCTACACCACTAGAGATGCCTTTCTAAAATTTTATTGTTAGCTTCCAAGCTTTGCTATATTTGAATTATTTTCTGTATACGCATTTATCTTGCAATTATTCCCATTACGTCGCAAAATTCCGCTTGGATTTGTTCTTTTCTTGGCAGAACATTAGGTGTTTACTTCTGATGATCTTGCAATGTGGCAAATTTTTGTTTCCAACTTGTATGAAATATGAAAGAAATACTGGAAAAAAAAACGTATGTAGAAATGAAATTAAAAGACGAATTCAAAAAAGTGGTTCTCAAAATCATTAATTTCGGTGGGTTTAGCACCGCATATAGACCATTTCATATACGACGTGTTGCTTAACGCGTTGCATACTTTTTACATCTTCCAAAGTAGGAGGCTATGATTTATGTTTAATTTATTTTTAATTATTAATATTCGGTAGTAATTAAGTTCGTGATTTCATGCAGATTTTTTCATATGATTTTAGAGTTACTTTCAGCTATAAGCTGAAATGGGATGTACGGTGTTGAAAATAGACATTTATCAGTATCATTACAGTTTCAAATCTTTACTTGTACCCACTGTGCAGAGTACTGCGTTCTCCGTGCCATCAAGACAATTATTAATTACAGCTTTCTGGAGCTGTAAAATTCTTATAGCACTTTTGTCTAGTACACTCATAAAAACTACATAAAGTAACCTAAAATCGAAATAAAAAAGCCGCCTTAAAAGCAGTAAAGGAACTTCCTCAAATCTAGGGAGATTTTTCGTGAATGTACACACAAAAAAAAAAAGTTTTTAAATCAAAAATACTTGGCTTGATTTATCGATGTGGTCCCTTAAAATTTTCAATTACGATTCGGGTTAAATGGTCAAAATAAGCAAGTATCGGGATTTAAATGAATTTAAATCTCGCACGTGTGTTCATATGATTCCCAATAGATTCTAACATCCTTGGGATGAGGTTACGGTTGCCGGCCATTTCTTAGATAAGTACACAACATTGTATGTTCGCAACGACGTTTGCAAGCAACAACAAAAAACTCATACATATGTTAAATATTAATGTAGACAATAGACTAAACAGAAATATAGTAAATCGCAAAACTAAGTAACAAATACTTATTTAAGAAAATTCAGCACAACAATTCTAAAATTTATCGCATTTGAGATTAATATTGTAGAAGAACTACAAAAATAATTTAGAAAAATTTTGGGGATTAAAAAAGAATTCGTGGTATTGAAACATTTAAGAACAGTCATAATTACATCAAGAATTTTTGGGATTAAAAAATCTAAGAATGGTCGGGACAAAGAATTTTTTAGTTTAAATTTTTAAGATTAGTGGGATTGAATCAAAATATTTTGGATTGTTTTTATACTAAAAACTAGCAAATCCGGACTTGGCCCGAAATCATGCCTACTTGGGCCTAAATTTGGCAACAATACCCCGGATTTGTTTTTGTGTGCACATTCCAAGAAAATATGTTTTTATACCTATGCAGGGTATTATAATTTCAGTCAGAAATTTCCAACGCAGTGAAGGAGGCACCAGCGACTATATAAAGTATATATATTCTTGATCAGGATCAGCAGCCGAGTCGATCTAGCCATGTCCATCTGTGCGTCTACATCCGTTTTTACGCAAAAAAGTCTCTGTTTTGAAGCTATCTGAAGGAATCTTTGTAGTTAGTCTTCTTTGTATATACCTTCACTCGTATATATGTCGGAACGGGCCGGATCGGACGACTATATCATATATCTGCCATAGGAATGATCGGAACATTTTTATAAAAAAACAACATTATAACATTTTCAGTTTTCAACAGAATTTAATAATTGATTTGAGGTATAGCTCCCATAGGAACGATCAATTAATACAATTAAAAATTATAGGTTTTCCAGTTTTCAACAGATTTTCATCAAATTTTAGTTATAGCCATTTGACACTATTCTACAAATCATTTTTTTTCTACAAAAATGTAACATCTTATGAGAACCGGACGACTATATCATATGGCTCCCATAGAAACGATAAAAAAAATAATACAATTAAAAATTTTAGCTTTTCATTTTTCAACAGATTTTCCTCAAATTTAAGTTATAAGACTAACTGACAAGTTTCATATATGTAGATAGCTTTAAAACTGAGAGACTAGTTTGCGGACGGACGGACATGGCTAGAACGACTCGGCTGTTGATCTTGATCAAAAATATATACACATTATATTATCGGACTGAAATTATAATACAAGTGTTTAAAAAGTGTTTCATTTGGCCAAAATGTCAGACCTTTTATTCATAGAACAACGGTTTATTATAAATGTACATTTATTTCTTTGCTGTTACAATTCTAGGTGGCATGGATTAAATCTGATTCGAAAGCAATACTTGGCATACACACACATATGGTCTCACTAAATCCAAGATTATCTGTGACACACAACGGCCACAACACCTGGAAACTTCACATATCTCGTGTACAAATAAACGACTCCGGCAGCTACATGTGCCAAGTTAATACAGATCCCATGAAAAGCCTTGTAAGTACATGTCTATCCCACCTCTTTTCCAAGAGGCTTAGCTTAAGTCCAAGGGTGTCCTTATCCCTGTGCGTATGTAACGACAGGGAGAACGATTTTGTCTGGACATGGGCTTTCACGAGTGTGTACAACCTACTGAACACCTTCCCATTTATTCGCGCACACAATAACAGCTGCGCAATGGGAATCTAATATATATTTTTTTCAGTCTGGACATTTAGACGTTGTTGTACCACCAGATATTATGAACCACCGAGAAAATAACCAAGAGGAAGGAGTAAGCACAGAAGGCGGCAGCATATCACTAATATGCAGTGCGACCGGTGTTCCAGAACCAAAAGTACAGTGGCGAAGGGAAGATGGAAAGGACATTATACTTCGAGCGGAAAATAGAGATAAACAAGGTAAATAACTTGAACATTTTTTTTTTTTTTTTGTATAAATTCATTTTTTACATTCTTAGCATTCAAAACTCATTATTAAAATTAATAAATTTTATTTAGGGCTATATTAACAATAAAATTAATAAGTCATATAATTTTTAAACTGGTTATAGCGCCCATTCATCCGTCACCAAAATTTGATAGATCTATGTTAGCTCTATAGTCTCTGACAGAATTAATTAATTAATTAATTTTCCAGCTAAGCTAGACCGTTCACAAACTTAAAGGACACACAAGAAAAAGTTCGAATTTGGAAATATTGAAATCATGTTTATTAATATCTCAATTCAAAAAATGTTTTTGCACTTACTTCCGCATTTCAAATAATCCAATAAAGCCATAGATTTATACTTGCAATTGATGTACAAAAAAATTCAAATTCTTCTTTTTCGGCTGTATTCACAAATATCAATAAAAACACCTAATTGTGGTGAGATTAAAATTACGATTACAAATGGTTACAAATTTCTACAGAAATGTGCATCGCTGCCAAAAAATTAAACAAAATACTGGTTAGATTGATCAAGTTGAACTAATTTTACATTTTCTAAAATAAATTAGGAAATATTCGATTGAAAACTTGCATAAACACAATTTTCTTTATTTTGATGAAAAAATTCATACAAGAAGAAGGGACCGTAATCATTAAAAGTTTTATTTTTAAAATCCCGTGATAATGAATAAAACTTTGTATTACAATATTTATTTATATACCCTTGCAGGATAATATAATTTCAGTCAGAAGCTTGCAACGCAGTGAAGGAGTCACCTCCGACCATATAAAATATATATATTCTTAATCTCGATCTCAATTTAGCCATGTCGGTCTATACGTCTGTCTATATCTACGCAAACTAGCCTATTAGTCTTGAATCAATCTCAATAAAACTTTGCGGTTAGTCTTCTATATACTCTCACTCGTATACATATGTGTCGGACCAGACACAGATAGGACGACTATATCATGTAGCTGCCATAGGAACGATCGGAAAATTATTACAAAAAACACTCTTTTAGTTTTTAGCAGTATTTAATCAAACTAGAGATAAATCCATTTTATATTATACTAAAATTTTGTGAAAATTGTATAAAAATCGGATTTAGCTGCTATAGGATCGATCGAGAATTTAATACAATTAAAAATTATGATTTTCCAGTTGATAACAGATTTTCATCAAATTTGAGATATAGCCCTTTTTATTATTATTATTATTATAGAATTTTTATTTTTATTTTATGGTAATCGGACGACTATATCAAATAGTTGCAACACAAACGATCGGTAAATAAGGTAAAACTGTAAATATAATACATATATAGGTGAATGAAATAGAAGCAGGCATTACTTAATTGTTTTTTAACATAAATATTATAGTTTATATTGTATTAATTCCTAGTCCTCGAAGTTCTATCTGCAAGTGTATAGTTCGGTGTGCCGAAGTTAGCTTTCTTTCTTGTTTTTTTCATTCAAATTAAAAGTCATCCCTAAATTGTAGAATTATAAATAAGGCTATATCTTAAATTTTATGAAAATCTTTTGAAAACTGAAAAGTTATTATTTTTATTTGTATTGGTCGCTCCTATGGGAGCTTTATGATATAGTAGTCCGATTCTCATAAAAGTTTACACAAAATTGTAGAATAATATAACATGGCTATAAATAAATTTAAAGACTGAAAATGTAATTTTTTTTGTATAAAATTTCCGACCATTCCTATGGCAGCTATATGATATAGTCGTCCGATCCGGCCCGTTCCGACATATATACGAGTGAGAGTATATAGAAGACTAACTACAAAATTTCATTGAGATAGCTTCAAAACTGAGACTAGTTTGCGTAGAAACGGACAGACGGACATGGCTAGATCGACTCGGCTGTTGATCCTGATCAAGAATATATATACTTTATATAGTCGGAGGTGCCTCCTTCACTGCGTTGCAAACTTCTGACTGAAATTATAATACCCTGCAAGGGTATAAAAATGGAATTAAAATAACCCTAAAACTAAGAAAATTCGTTATAAATGGCTGTTTCTTAAATTGGATGAAAATCTGGTGAAAACTGAAAAATTTATAATTTTTTTTAAAAAAATTTTCTGATCGTTTCTTTAGCAGCTATATGGAATTGTCGTCCGATCCGGCCCGTTCCTACATACATATATACGAGCGAGACTATATATAAGACTAACTTTACAGTTTTATTCAGATAGGAAGGGTACTCGGAGTGCTAAAGTTTGCTTCCTTTTTTGTTTCTTATTCTTGTCGATATTTCAACCATTAATAAAATGCATTAGTATCACGAAAGATTGCTTACTATTTTTAACGCTCCTATTTCGCTAATTATGGGGGAAGAAATCATACCTATCCGACAAAAACTATCAATGATCATATTGTTCTGATAAACGCAACTATTGCCTACATGTTACAACCCGAATCTATTTTGGCAGTTACAAAAGTATTTTTAACATGTAACCGAGTAATTTATACATTCCATTCTTTAAAATTGTATTAAAAATGAAACAATTTTAAAGTACGTTTTGCTATTCAATACAATGAACATAAATAGATTCAAAGTATAAACGCAGTTATCCTCGAGTTATTGGTACGTACTTTGTTGGTTGGTACTTTGGTATTTTCTACAGACTGTGATCGGTGGTAGTAAAACTACATACATTATTGGTTTATTTCCCATATTAGAAAATCTTAAGACCTCTAAGTCCCTTCTTTCATTAGAAAACCTCAGGGCTTTCAAAACTGTTCAACCACTGCACTATGGGCCAGGCGGCCCGGATTTTGGCCAAAAGGGTCAAAAATGGTTTTAAGAAAATGAGAAAAAAAACAATTGCATTATAAAGAGGATAGATTAAGCTATCTTCTTCAAAATTTTATTACTTTCTATTCAATGGGTACGAGATGGCAGCTAATCAAAGTGGATATTTGCGTTTAATTTTTTCATTTTATCGGGCAGCTATAGTCACATCGAAATGCTTTTAATGTAACTAATAGAACCCAAAATTAAAAAAAAAATGTTTTTTATATATTACACTTATTATTTTACAAACAAATTTAAAAAGAACACAGTTTTTAACCCATTTTTCACAAGTTGTGATTTCAAACTTAGGGTACCTTGACGTACCACCTCCGATCAAATTGAAAAAAATTTTAAAAATAACTTTGAATATTTCGCTTTTACGTATAAGCTGTCCAAAATTCGCACTCTGAGGTTTTTTATACCAAAATTAAATTTTTAAACTTATATTATTAAAAAAAGTCTTTATAATACTGCCTAAAGGCAGGCAAGAAATAATATATTGCAAGCATTGACAAGCAAAAGTACAATTTAAAAAATTTGTGGCATACTTTTAGTGCCACATTTTACAAGCATCTATAAAATTTTTTTTTGTGAAAACTTAAAAAAATTATTGGTTTAAAAACAACTTTTTTTTGTTTTTTTTTTGTAATAGAGACCATATTGGAAGTAAAAAACAAAAATTGCGGTAGATTGCTTCAAAGACGTTCATGAAATTGAGACAAGAAATTTGAACTTAAGGGGCTTAAAACTAAAAAACTACTGCATTTAATGCAACAAATATATTTTTTTCTAATAAATATTATCTAAATACTCATTTCTGTAAAGTGAGATCCAAATCGAGTTGCTGGTTTTTTATTTTTTATGAAAAACAAAAAAAAAGAAAATATTTTTCAACTTTGGTAGGGATTATCTTCATAAAAAAAAATATTTTCTATTACTAATTTTTAAACACATAAAATTCAATGTTTTGAGAATGTGCATGCCAAATTTCACGTCTCTAAAAAATTTATTTTAGAAGTTAGAGAGTTTTGGCCAAAATATGAACTTCCTGGCCCATAGTGCACTGTGGAAGACTTCAGAGTCTCCAAAACAGCTGTCACAGACACCAACCACTCGAACGAGGAGGCAATGAAATGACGTATGAGAGTCACATTATTATTAAATTATAACTTTTAAATAAATAAACCATAAGATAGGTTTTACGGAAAAATTCCCTAGCGTTTCAATCTGCACCGCGTAGAAATCTCTTTTAGAAACAATCCTTGAACCAAATAAATTTTTTGAGACGAATCCAGGTCATTTTTTAGTCACCTGAACAACAGCAGATCGTCAATAAAGTTTGCTTATCCTAAGCCCTTTTTAAAACATGGCCTTAGGCATTACTTCGCTGTTTAAAAAAAATTAAAAATATATAATTTATATTGTCTTAATTAATAATGTTTAAAGACCAATCACCTAGGAAGTATAAACTGGCATGGCTATGTTAGCATTCTTGTTGACTATAGTTTCTCTCTATTTACATAAAATACTGTGTATCAAATATAATGAAAGAAATTTGGGATTTAATGCAATTTTAATCAATGTAAATTAGCATAGTAAATTATACATACCTATCGATTATTTGACTTACATTGTGTATCATTGCAGCTTTTAAGTACATAGAAGGAGAACGCCTTACACTGACTAATGTTCATCGAAGCGATATCGGTGGCTATAACTGCATTGCATCTAATGGAGTACCACCATCTGTGAGCAAACGTTTTGACGTGCATGTGAATTGTAAGTAGCGATAGTCAGAGTACCTAGCTTTAACTAAAGATGATGTTAGTAACCCTTAGTAGTTTTAATTACAAAAAAGCCTAGCCTCATTTAATAATTTCGATCTTGGAAATTAGACAAAGATTTGGATTCCCTTCTCTCTACAATCTTTTATCTCTTATCCACCCGGAAATTTTCTTGAAATTTGGCTCTCTCACTCAAAACAGCAAGAACAAAATTTGGGCTGCTACACTGATTAAAAAAGCGAAAATCTTGATTTATAAAAAACTTAATATAAAAAAACTTGAAAATAGAATAATAATTTTTTAAATATGGCCAAAAGTAATGAACTGTATTAATTATCGCATTTTCTTCATATTTTATTTAAAGCCTCAACTCGGTTCTGAACTTATCAGTTTTACAAGCAGTGGCCCTATACTGCAATTTATATACATAAGTAAGGTTAAACCGAAAGCCGTTAGTTGTCTGGATGTCAATTGTATGGACGTAGAGATATTACGCGGTTTCAAAGTCCTTGATGATCAAGATCCTTGTGTCCTCTTGTAGGCATCTTCTAAATATTTCAGTACTGGGACACCTTGGTACCTTCTTCTTGCTTGCATTCAAGCCGGACACCTGCAGATGAGATGTTCCAAGGATCTGCTTTTTGCTAGTATGTCAGCCCGTCTCTTCAGCTCGCTCTGGAGCGTTCTTAAGGACATGGGGACGTTTTCCGTTCTGTCGCTCGACAGTCCGACGCCTTCCTTTGCAAGTATGTAAACTCGTTGTTTCTGAAGACAATGTGTTAGTGTAGTGTATTTGAAGTCGTAGTGAAACTGAATGTACTTGTAGGATATAAGGATGGTCTCTCTAGGACTCTCCATTCTGAAATCATAGTACCCCGTCCCGCTACGAGCGTTAAATCTAGCAGATTTGACGACAGTGGAAAATTTTATTCTAAGATTGACTCACCTCTCTAACCCACACGCAGTGGTGTGCGTTGGCATCAGCCACGGTCAGTTACTGGTCTTTCGGGCTGGCTGCTACCAGGCTCCTGAGTGCCTCCGGTGGGGCTGTAACTCGAATATGCGAGAAGGCGCTTCTTCCCGCTCTCCAGCATCACAGCAGTTAGGACATCCGAGATGTAATGAGGCATAAGGCTTTTCCGGCTTTTCTTTTTCTGGTTACCGATGGCAGGTTGAACACATTGTAGTCCCAAGGCAATCCATGGCTCCTGGACCAAAGCTAAGTCGACTGATCCTTGCGTTATGAGGAGTTCTGCCGACCCTACTTTGCTTTTATGTAGATTGAGCTGCAAGACACTGAGAGTCATGGGTATTGACTATGACTTTCAGGTCACCGACCTTTTTTGGGCGGCGTCTATGATGGTGTACACACCTTGATCCTCCTCTACCCGCTTGCCTTCAGGAAGTGCTCATCTTTGTCCCCGGGGTAACGCTTTTTGCTACCCATGCTCTACGCCATCTTCCCGTATCTGGGATAAAGAACATCTTCCGCCTCCTTGTTAATCTGGAGGACTGCGCTTGGACCCCACTCTTTAGGTAGTGGGCTACCAATATGCAGGATTTTGACCCCGTTCAGCTACCCGCATCATCAAATGAGGGCATATGGGTTGGAAACATCCTCCATCCGTGTAAAGTTTAGTTTAGTCGCCTGATTGAACTTCACCTCCTGCTCTATTGGGTTTTTTACCTTGGAGGGGGGCGTATTCCCTCGTTTGACCGTGTCGGCGCATCCCTGTGCGGGGACTGGAGCCAGGTTTCGACGAGGAGAGAAGACTATTTTCCGGCTCCAAGTCAACTAGTAAGACCTGCTCCCGTCATGCTAGTGGTGTGACCGCTGGCGTAACGCAGAGACGATTCCTCCTCTCCTTGCCAAACATTGGCAGTCACTTTTTTCAGCGGCGTTAGTACTGACATCCCAGCACGATTGACTTTTTTGTTTCATCTTTTTAGATAGAAACAGGTTTATTTTTCGGGGAACCACTCACTTGCTTTTTATGGCTTCCGCCAGGAACCTCCAACCATGGCTAATGATTAATTTTCTCCGGCTTTAGGCAAGAAGAACTGTACCGAAGACTTCGCTGGACACTGCATTAATGAGGACGGAGGAGGTGGCACTCGATTATCCGTGGTCCGGGGTAATACAGTGTCCACCGAATTCCTCTGTGTGAAGCTATCTTTCAATGATAGCGTATTTTCATTTTTTCCTACATACTTCCATTATCGGAACTTCGTATTTATTGAAACCACCTGTTCGCTATTCATATGGTTTTCAAAAGACTTTCAGATAGGCACCATTTGATGTTAAGATTTTAACATTCCAGGGGCTATTTGGTTCTCAAATAATTCCACCAATACTCTCCTAACTTCTACAAAACATGATTTTATTTCTGACTCGTTTGATATTTCGAAATTCATTAGAGCACGTGATTGATCTTGGTTTTGTTTCAGATCCGGCGAGGGTTAGTTTAACCAGGGTGGCGCCTTCTACACAACCTGAAAATACTTATCATCCTACTTTTGATACTAGTCATTAGGTTTGACTTACAGAATACATATGACCGTCCTGCCAAAAAAGTCCTCTGTTTTGTCAAGACGGACTTTGAACTCCTGAATAATAATATTAAATATAAATTTAATTTTCCCGATCTACACATGCACACTGACATGGCTGTTGGCGTGGATTTTTTCACAATGCTCTGAACTCGTTTTACCCTTGTTTTACTATTGCAGGGTAATATAATTTAAGTCAGAAGTTTGCAGTGTAGTGAATTATTGATTCTTATTGAACAGCCAAGTCGATCAAGCCATGTCCGTCTGTCCGTTTCTACGCAAACAAGTCTCTCAGTTTTAAAGCTATCTGAATAAAACTTTGTAGTTAGTCTTCTATATACTCTCACTCGTATACATTTCGAAACGGGCCGGATCGGACGATTATATCATATAGCTGCCATAGGAACGATCCGAAAATTTGTACAAAAAAAAAAGGAAAGCATTTTTAGTTTTCAATTAAATTTTATCTGTTTTTAGATATATCCATTTTATATTACTCTACAGTTTCGGCTAAAATTTTATTAATATCGGACTTCTGTATCATATAGCTGACATAGGGACCATCCTGAAATTAATACAATTCAAAATTATTACTTTTTCAGTTTTCAACAGATTTTCGTAAAGTTTAAGATATAGCCTTTTTTTTATTATTCTAGATTTTTTTTTAATTTTATGAAAATCGGATGACAATATCACATAGCTGCCATACAAACGATCTTATTTGTATACATTATATTTACAGTTTTAAATTCACAGTTTTACATTTTCTTCTATATCTATATTACTTGTATAGGTGAATGAAATGGTAACAGGTATTACTTCTAGTATACTACTGTATTTAAATATATATAATTTATGTTCTATTAATTCCTAGTGATCGCAGTTCTATCTGCAAGCCTTTAAAATCAAATATTCAGGCTGTATTTTAAATTTAAAGACTTCGGTTCTCAATCTGACCTTTCCTCATATTTCTCAGGTCGGTCAAACTTATCGAGCTGAAACTTATCAAGCATATGTTGCTTGATTTAAACTCTTCGAATTTAAATCAGACTTATTCCTACGTCATACCCAAATCGAACTTAATTTTCAGTCCATGTTTAAACGAAAGCTCTATTTTTGTACATCTTCATCGTATCATCGTGTTTATTCGTCAGGTCTCGAACGTATTCTTGGCTGTATGCTCTGGTATTTTGCCGACGCCCTGCGCAATTCCCTTTTGAAATTGTTTACCTTATCCTTCGAAACCTTAAATTTTTTCTTATTTTGGAGAAATCGGTTTTTAGTCTTCTTCACAAAAAGGGTTCCAAGTCAGATGCCTACAATTATAGAGGAATCTGTAAGTTAACTTTCCAATTGCAGCACCTTTGTAGATCAGTTGGCGAAATATGTCAACATAGTATTATTAAGCGAAGATCAACATTAACTAACCTTTTTGAGCTCTTTTTCGATAGTATGAAGGCCTTTCATAATAACATTCAGACAGTTGTAATCTATACCAATTTTAGTAAAGAAAATGAATCTGTTAACCATTCTCTCCAAGTAGAGAAGCTCGATTTAATGGGATTTCCAGTTCATCTTCTTAGTTGGATCTCAAGTTATCTGAATGGTAGGACGCAAATGGTCCTCTTAAATAATAATTACTTCTGGCGTCCCGCAAGGAAGCCATTTGGGTCCCTTTATTATTATTTAATGCTTACATTATTTATAAACGACCTGATCAAAGTTCTGACTTACTCCAGAGTACTTATGTATGTCGATGGGTGCAATATAAGGACGCCGCTTGGCAGTCGGATTTACAAACAGATCGTAATAATTTCCAAAGAAACGCCTCTAAATGCAAGCTAATGACATTCTCTCGTGTCGTTTCAAGCTTACGACTTATACGCTTAACTGATGGTTTTTGGAAAGAATTAATTTATTTGATAATTTGGGTGTCCACTTGGATCCTAATCTTGACTTTGTATATCCTCTTTCGTCTATGGTAAATAAAGCCAGGGGTGTACTTTGATTTACTAAACAGTGATCGGAAGAATTTAATGAACCCTATATTACTAAATCCTTATATACTTCTTTAGTTCGTCCTATCGTAGTAAATGGATGCTGTAGCCCTCAGTACTGCGTCCATAGTAAATGTATCGAATCGGTTCAAAAGAACTTTTTAGTTTTCGCTCTATGCTGCTGAAATTGGGAAATAATCCAAAGATTACCTTCATATTCACCACATTCGCCACCTCATCCATGGCGGCGTGGCAAGTGCTTGTTGGGCCAGCTCAATTTCTATGTACAGAGTAGAAATACTGGATCCTTTATACCCTTAGTGTGTAGAACCTCATTTGAATTGAATGAACCTTTTAGTCTCTTATTATAATAATATTTACTCCATAATCTACACCGAAGAAAACCTACCCAACTAAAAACTTTAATACTAATCCACTTACTGAACTTGCAAGCATAAAATCTGGAAGCCCGCCGGCAGTTAATTTTCTCATACTCTTTTTTTATATTTTTTTTCGCACCTACTAACTCCTAACCAATACAGGTACGTGCTTGAGTATACTGATCCTAGTGTATCATGGTCCATATAACAACAATTACTAAAATATGTCTCGATTTTTTCGCTTTCGTATAAGCTGGTCCTGGATCAATATGTAACTATTCAAAAGGTATCGTTGGGTTTTGAATATCCTTCTATTAGCCATTATGCAAGAGCAATTTTTTTTAGCATAGAAGAGGCGTCTGGGCCTGTAGCTTAAAAGTTTAACTTCAGCGTTTGTTATTTTTTCTCACTTTGTATCTGGTATCTTTGGTCGAACTGCTTTGACATAACATATGTGAAATACATTAACGTTTTCATTATAAGGTTCATATTCAATCATAAAAATTTTGTCTTATGTAAATTATGTTTTAATTGTGTGCCCAAATTATCCCTCGCCGCAGTCCGTGAGGAGGAGGGTTGGAGATCTTTTTCTCCGCTTGCTAATGGAATGCTCTTCGCGAGTACAGTAGTGTTATATGTTGGGAGAACTTCTCTCCGATGCTTCTTGCCCTTAATGCTAGGTAACCATTTAATTAAAGATAGCTTTCGCTGGAGTCGGATCTGTGCGCTTTGCCCAGTTTATTACAATCAAATACAAACTGATGCTTATCTAACTGTACTTAAGCTATGCGCGGCCGGCAAGCCGACAGCTCGTCAGGTCACAGTGCTGACACCACCAAAAAAAAACATAACTCACCATACCGAGAACCAATGGGACCCAGGCACGGCCACTAAAGGCGTCTCCAAGTGAACGGCCGGTTTTTTTTCTAGAGCGATTTGTTTTAAAGCTTGGAAATAACCACCGGGGTTAACTTAAATCTTCTATTTAGTGTTAACAGCTTCCCCTTCACTGAACGGGTGCATGCAGCTATTCTGATTTGTGTATTTAATTGGTCTTATTTCCCAGCTAGTGCTTACTTTTTTGTTTTGATCTTGTTCGCGCCGTCGCGACAGGTCTCTCACGCTCGCTGAGTCGCTGCACTTCTTATCTTTATAACTCTGTTTTTCTGTCAAGTACAAGTACACTTGTAAGCCATTATAATGTCCGCTAATATTGTCTGTTTCGCCAAAACCAGCAAATAGGCTATTATTGCAGGTGATCTTGCCATTGGCTGCTGGCTGTGCGACATCATACACGCCAAGTTTATTGGTGTTGCAGTTCGGACTGCTGCAAGTATTTTCGGGATAAGGAAAGGGAGATTAAGTCTTTTATACGGTAGACCAAGGGCGATTTTAAGAGCATTTTATCGAATTCTCGTAAAATACATGAAATGTTCTTGACGCTGGAAACCCAATTTTATAGCCTTACGCTATTAAATGAGTCTGCGAAACGTAATAAAATTGCATGTAGGTTGATACCAACAAACCGCAACGGGCACTCAGCAGCAGCTTCCCTCAGCACAGTCCTAGACCTCCGCATTCAATCCGAGAGTGTTGAGATCGAGGGCTTAAAGAGATTCGGTGCCCGAATGTGCAGCGGGTGTGCCCGCGTTTCCAGTGATTTTCGTTTCGTTCCCTGGAGGGTCTCAAATTTTGACCTCTCAGAGTCCCGTGAATCGCCTTTATCCAAGGCAAAACCAGTGCCAACCAAATAAAAATAAAGGGAGATACATTATAATTTTCTTAGGCTAGGGATAAATCGTCTTTTTAAAATAAATGTCCCTAACGAACTCTTTGAAACAGTTTGCTCTGCCAAATTCTGGCAAGAGTATGTTGCTGTCGAGAAGTTCGAAACTAAAAAAAAGAAAAAGGGGCCTGTAGAAATATCTCTTTCAGGCACGATCAGACCACTGCGCCTTCTACTTCTAACTTCGCCTCAAAAAACTTACCAATCATCTAACCATTTCCTATCAGAACGCAAGCGGCTTACTAAGTACGCTTCTTAATTTGTATTCTGATAGTCCTTCGTTTCCTTCTCTGGTTATTATGTTCACAGAAGCTTGGTCAAAGCCAGAGATTCTGAGCTCCGAAGTTTTTCCAGCTGTGTTCACAGTATATCGGCTAGATCGCCCTATCAGACGCGGGGGTGGAGTTCTCATAGCGGTGGACTCCTCACTCACGTCAGAATTATGAACTTTCGAGGTATGCAACGTGTTAAATTCCTCGTTGTGCAGCTTTCTATTAATGCAATTAATTTGTATTACGTGATCCTACATAACTCCATTGTCGGAACGTCCTATTTATTGGAACCACCTTTGGCCAGGGTGGCGCCTCTGACGCAGACTGAAGAGCCCTATCATCCTACTTTCAATGAGACTCTTGATATTATCTGACTTATAAAATATATCTGACCGTGCAGACAAAAAAGTCCTCTGTTTTCGCATGGCGGACTTTAAAATGCTGAATAATTTTATTTCGAACTCTTTTGACTCAAATCAGACTTATTTAATATCATGCCCAAATCGAACTTAATTTTCAATACCAGATTAAATTAAAGCTCTCTTCTTTTAGATCTTCATCGTGTTAAGCCAATTTTTTCTCCTGGTCAAGATTGAATGGCTATGTGCTCAAATATTGTGCCGACGCCCTGTGCTATCCCTCTTCTGAAATTGTTTACCTTATCCTTAGAAACATCCCACTTTCCCCTTATTTGGAGAGAATCATTTATTATTCCTCTCCACAAAAAAGGTAGCAATTCGAATGCCAACAATTATAGAGGAATCTCTAAATTGCATTGCTTTGCGGCCGTGCCGCGTTAGT